TTGATGCACAGTGTTTTTCACAATGTCGTTTTTTAAAGGTGTGCATTCTGCAAAGTTGGTATACATCTGAAATCTTTTTGGGAAGGGATCTGTTAATGTTTTGTATTTAAGAAGGGAGATTCTGCTAGTACAATTTTGCTAATTTCTGGGGGGGGGATTGCTTCAGCCAACAAGGGTAGAGGAATCTGTAAAATTTAAAATCTACAAAAATAGAGTGACAGAAATTAAAGATGGAGCTGGAAAAGATGTCTGTGTGATCCACATGGCCACCTACTATGTGGCTGTGGTTCTCAAACTTCTCACTAAATCTTTCTTCTAGTGGATAATAGTCATGTTTGTGAGTCACCTGGCAGTTATATTACCTGGTCCTGATGAGATTCTTTTAAATTATGTTGTCAAGCAGCTCCCATCCTGCCTGGTGACTTTATTATGGCACAGCATGGTCTGGACTTACTGGCAAGAAAAAATGAGAGTGATATTATTCAGTCCATGTGGTGCTTGCCCATGTCACGTGACAAAGCTTTCTGGTGAAACTGCATTGCTGTGCCTGCGTTTCATTGGTAGTAAGAGACCGATGACATTATGAAGGTATTTTATTTGGAAACCGGCATGGGGTGCAGTCACAATGATTGAAGTGTACTTGAAAACATGGTGGGTCTTGTGCAAATGGGCTGCCACTGTATTCCTTTTTTTTTTAAGCCCCTGGAGGGGATTTTTTTATTATTTTTTTATATCACTACAAAAACTATAACAGAAGGAAAAGGAAGGGAAACTACATTTACAGGATTTACAAGTTCTTTATACTTCTTTCTCCGTTGTCTTACTTCAAATGGAATGTCCTTTAATACTCTGATAGTATTCTCTTCCACTTTTAGGGAAATTCCAGAAACCACTTTCAGGATTGCATCCCTCACATGCCTCTTCGAGAATCTTACAACAATTTCCCCAGGCAGATTATTTTTCTTTATATAGCCTGATTATGATCTATAGACCACATCCATATCGCTTAGCAGTGATTCCGCCTTCATCTCTGTCACTGGGGCTAGTAATTTGCTCATCACTTCTTTAAGATTCTCCCCTTTATTCTCTGGCATGCCCTGGAAGCGAAGGATCATGTTGGCCCTTTCCATTTGCAATTGTAGTAGCTGATCTTCTGTGGAGCTTTGTTTCCTTTCCAGCTTTCGCACTTTTTTCTTCACCTTTTGAGTAACTGCAAACACATCATTTACCTTCTCAGTATTTTGTTTCATTATTTGCAATGTCTCGTTTATCTGGGTTTGCTGAGAGGTAATACATTTAGTCATTGTTGACATCTGTTCCTTGAAGTTATTCAGCTGTACCAGCAGAGGGTGCATGTATTCCGCTATAGACCTTGCCACCTCACTGGTAGCTTCCGGTTTCGGGCTCTCAGTCCCTTTCGATTTCAAAAGTTTTTCTTTGTCCTTCTCCCCCGCCATCTTTACTGTTTGATTACTTTTGCAATTTTTTAAAAAGTCTCTGAATATGTGCTTGAACGCTTGAACTCGCTCTGGTAAGTACTTCTAGACAGTTTCCTTTGCGTTTTCTTCTGCTCCCCCCCTCAATCGCTCAAAAGTTCGTGCGCATGGGAGGCGTCCCTCCCCCGCTCGCCTTTTTCCCTCTTTCGGCCTCGCTTTCAGCTTCATTTCTGATGCTCGATCTCCTGCGCTTGTCCCGGTCAGCTTCACTTAAGTCCATTTGGTCTCACAGCACGTCGGACCTTCGGAACGAAGAGGCGCCTCAATTCTCCGGCATTCCGCCATTGAAGAGGCAACCTCTTAAAAGTTCCATGGCCAGGGTCTCTTCGCCGGGCCCCTGGGGGGGGGTTGCGAGCCTGCGCACCCCCTTCTTCGGCTGGAGCGCAGCTTCGTCCCTGGGAGGTCCGGACGGTGAGTCTGCTAGCGCGCCGCCATCAACCGGAAGTCTGGCTGCCACTGTATTCCTGAGAACACTTTCCTGGGAGTATGTCCCATGGTGTAGGATTAATAGGATTCTGAGTAGACCTGCTTGGTATTCCTTTTTGTATCATTTGCAGGTGTGGAAAATGATTAATAATTTGACTTGCATGTGAAAGTGTGTGTGTTCTTCAAAAGGTGCATTTTCACAAGAAAGATGAGAATTATGAAATTGAAAGGCCAACTAATATATTTCTTGCACATCCTTGACAAATGCAAGTTCTGCGTACTTTTGTATTCTTGGAAAGAATTTATTTATTTAATTGTATTTATACCCCGCTCTCCCCGCGAACGGGCTCAGGGCGGCTTACAGTGCATATAATATATGAAATAGATAAAACAGATAAAATTCAATATAATCGAATGCAAAGATAAAACTCCCCTACCTCTTGCTAAGCAGAAGGGGAGGACTAGGGCCGTAGATGGATGTTACCTGGCCCTCCGGCGGTATCGCTCTGTACTGGAGCGGTGGTGTTCAGTGTTCCGTCTAAGCTGTGGAGTCTCATGAGCAAAAATTCTACTTTGTGAGCCACTGGCATTAAAGTTGTGAGCAAGCGATTGGGCTGCTGCATAAATTAGTTTGCCCTGGAGCCATCATTCCTGAGCTAAGACAAAAATGTGTGAGCCGGAGGCTAAAGAACTGTGAGCTAGCTCACACAAACTCAGCTTAGAGGGAACAATGGTGGTGGTAGTGGCAGTGGCGGCTCCTACTCGAAATCCTGGTGGAAGAGCTCCATCTTACAGGCCCTGCGGAACTGCACGAGGTCCCGCAGGGCCCTGATCTCCTCTGGGGGCTCATTCCACCAGATAGGAGCCGCCACTGAAAAGGACCTGGCCCTTGTTGCTGCAAGCCTGGCCTCCTTGGGGCCCGGGGTCACCAGCCAGTGTTGTGACCCCGACTGAAGTGCTCTTTGGGGAATATGTGGGGAAATGCGGTCCCTCAGGTATGTCGGAAGCGACTGGACTTACCTGGGGCCACTTTTGTGGCTGTTTCTTTCCCTTGGCTGTGTGGCTGCAGGGAGGAACTGGGTGGGTTGGCTCTAGCAGCAGCCACCAGCCAATCAGGCGGGGGAGGGAAGGTTGGAGCTTCCAGGAAGACCTGGAAAGCAGAGTCTTCACTCCCATCCACCCCTCCCCTATTTATTGAGGTCTGCTGCCAGGGCCTGCTCACAGTTGGCTGCAGCTTCAGCAGGGTGGTTTGCTGAACTTTTGTGGTGGTTTGGACACTGAGTCAGATCCATGGGGAGGGAGGCTGAGCCTGCATGCTCGCCTCCCTCATTCTGGATACTACTGTAAGGGGTCTTGGGGTGGGGCTATTCAGCGATGTACCCAGCTCAGTGGCTGCTGGCTGTCTCTCACCCCCAGGTGGCAAAGGAACCACGCAGTGGTTTGCACCCATGTGGGATTATGGGACTTTGCATTCCACGTTGCTTCCCCAACAGGTGGGCTGGGGGAAGGGGGGCCTATCAGCCAACAGGCAGGTCACCCGATGTGGGTTCCATCCCCTGTGCTGTGTCAATGCTCCTGTGTGGCTGTGTTCAGTAAAAGCTGTGGCCTGTTTTCACTCTTGTCATGTTCTATGGTTGGTTTGTTCCCCCCTTCACCCTTGCTTCCTCCCTTGCCCCTAGGACAGCAAGGAGACTTCTCATGCTTCTTGGCTACTTTATTCTATTACTGAATGGCTGAAACCAAGGGTACTTTTCTTAATCCATCTCAGGCTACCTACCTGTAATTTAAAACCATGGAGTTCACTCCTGCCTTTGGCAGATCAGACTGCCAGGGCTATACCTCTTGTTCCTAATGGCTTTTAAAATATATGAGAACTGCCTGAACATTTTCTCTTTCTAGCCCTCTAATTTTATTTTCTCTAGGCTAAACATATCAAATGTAGGATTTATCTAATGCCTAACCCTCTGAATCCTTTCCAGTTTGCTGATATCTGTCTTAAACTGTGGTCCCCAGAAGTGGACACAGTGCTGCCAGTACAGTGAGATCCACATGTGGAAAGTATCGATTCATGATGCCATAAGAAAGAAATCAGCCTTTTTTCAGATGTTACATTTGAGGATTGTCAACTCTGTGTATCAGAGGCGTGTGCTACCTGTGCTGTCCCCGGTTTATGCTGTCACTGTTTTGTCTGAGTTGGGCATTTATGTGTTTTTTCAGCTCAGAAATGTATTGAAGCTGAAAACACACACAGCACCTTATTCAAACAAAATGGTGAATGTGTGTATTGGGAGCATCACAGGTAGTGCATACTCCCTTTGGTAGGGTTGCAGTACACATGGTTGTGATGCCTGCAAAAAGCTACCATTGGAATGCCTCATGTGTCATTTCATTTTAAGGAAACAATACAGAGTGCCTAAACAAATGTAACAAGTCCTTTCTCAGCAGCTGGGTTTTCCAGACCATTTTGTTGACCTGACATTGCTAGCTCTCTGTGGAAAATAAGGAAATAATCTTCAAATGTATGGGAGATTTTTGTAATTGTGTTAGTAACACATATACATACCTAATCATTATTGCTTTCACAGATAGCTATTTTAGGCCCCGTTCATATGAGGCAGTTTGGGCCTCACTGAAGCAGACGTTTTAGATGGATTGGGGGGCACTACTTTAATTTAAACCATCACCGTTCAGTTACAGAAATAAATACAACCCAACTACTTGGTGTAATGTATTCAGCCTGACATGCCCGGACTTGCCCGGGCAGGCCAGGCACAAACCGTCTGTAGCTTGAGTCGAAAGACAAAGGAGCCGAAGGATCCTAGCTGGCCCAATCAAAGGGCTAGCTTTCCAGCCGGGAGACCAATGGTCACCCGGTTACTGTTAATAGCCTATTAGGAGTAGGGGGTGTGTTTATGGGTACTTGGTGGCGGGTTTTCTGAATGCATATAACTGGCCAGAAAGGAGGAGACATCTGAGCGGCTGCCGGCGAGACGGGCGAGACGGGCGCATGATGACGTTGGACGCTGGTGTAAAGCGGAGCCGGAAGGACGTTGCTGGAACCAGAGGAAGGCGTGAATCATGCGACCGAAGGAAAAGAACTGCCGCCGGATCGAAATGGAGCTCGCCGGGAGCGAAGCGAAGCGCCGAGCCAAGAGCGAGCATGTCAACCCACCACCACAGGGGTGCCGGTAGGAAACCCCACCCCCATAAACTCTGTGGCCATAGTTAGGGTAATTTGTGTGACTAGCACCATATGTAAGCCGCTCAGAGACCCCCTGAGAAAGGGGGTTCGAGCGGGATATAAAGTCTAAAGTTAAATAAATAAATAAATAAATAAAGGAAGGGAGGAAAGTTTTGAGTGGCTGCTGCTGTTTTTTAAACTTCTTGTTTTCCTTCACTGTGTGGAACATTTTCATACTTCTGATAGCAGTGACAGCACATACACCTTCTTTCTTTGGATGTGCAGGGAGAAGTAGTACAGATAACTTGTGCTTTCCCTCATCCCTTTCCCTTCAGACCCATGAAGTATCACTTGGTTAAAGTGATGTATTCAGATTTCGGAGACACTGTACAGCATGAGTTCAAGCATATCTCTGAGACCAGGACCTCAGTCAATATTTGTGTGTGATTCTTTAGAGTAGAACAGCTATCTTGGAGTCTGGGTGTCAGTCTGTTATGTTTTTATTCCACACTTCCTACAACGAGGTCAGGGTGGCATACGGCACAAGCCTGTGAGGTACGTAAAGCTGAGAGCTGGTGTGCTATAACAGAGAACTAAAGTAGGGTCTTCAAGACCCAAGTTCAAACCTCCACTTGGCCATAGAAGCTCTCCAGGTGAGCTTGAGCCCTACCTCTTGGGCATTTTATGGGGGCAAAATGGAAGAGGCAAGGTTTGTGCAGGCCACTCAGCGAAAAGTGGATTGGAAAATGATATCTAGATAAGTAAATATGTTACTGGCTTAAGGTCACCCAATGAACATCATGGCAGAACAGGGGGTTGAACTCAGTCTGACTTTGACACCATAAACACTGTCTGCCTTAGTGCAGTTTACATTTTGTTTCAAATCGACAAAGGAGATGTTGCCTCTGTGCAGTTTGGCTTTAAATTATACAGAGCTCTAAAATCTGATAGATGCCAAAAAAGCAGAATGAGAAACTGCATTTTAAAGTTATTTTACTGTCTTCTCTCACGCAAGAAATCGAACAGCCTCTTTAAAATTTAAATAAAATTTTCCACTGAGTTCTACATGCCAAATATCACCCTAGAGCAACATCTTCCTATGCCTCAGTCATAAAATCTGCAATAATCGAACGACTGCTCTCAGTTCACTGCTGAACTGGAAACACTTTAGCTCACTCAGTTATTGTTCATGAGTTTGGGGGTAACTACTAATAAGCAGTATGTTGGCAAATGTTGAAAGAGAGATTTTTGTTCCACGGGGCATAAATATTTTGTTCTCCTTGCCAAAAGTATTAGAGATATTGCTGGCACTGGATTTCAAGAGGGTAGCTATGCTAAGTCTGTTAAAAAAGAAAGACAGAGTCCAGTGGTGCTTCTGGAGTGTCTTTAGTCAAATAACCTTTTGGGAAAGGTTGTGCCTGCTTGTGGTCTACTCTGCTTCCTCAAGCTCGTATGAACACGTCCCCCACCCTTCTCTTCCTTCTTGTATTATAACTTGTTAACTGATTGTTCTTCAGAGGAGAATGGAGGTGGGTGATTACTGTGGTCTTACTCACTAGCAGGTAAGAGCTGCTGGTATGAACACCTGTAAAACTGTCTTCTAGCATGGGTGGGAACTTTTTCTTTTCCACTTTGTCCTCAAGGTAAAGAAGCATAATGGCCACAGGAGCACATACTCAAAACTTTGGTGAAACAATATTTCATGAAGTGTATGTTACGCAGAGGCAGGCAATGGCAAACCACTTCTGTTCATCTTGTGCCTTGAAAACCCTAGGGTGGTCAGCACAAGCTGGCTGCGACTTGATGGCCCTTTCCACCAGCATGTATTGAGGTCTGTGGTCATCACAAATCTCATTCTTCTGGAATTCTGGAGAGCAACAAGCAAAGTCTTGGCTTCGATCTTGTCAAAAATCACCATGATTTCTGCCAGCAGAGCACTACTTTCTCAGCTACACACTCCTGCTACAAACCATAATTCCCTCCCCGCAAATGCTGGGGGTTCCCCAGTAATAGCTTGAGAGGAGAATTAGAGGTCTGCTATGGGAGGGGAGAAATCAGTGAGCCCCTGCCTCACTCTTTCTCACTTACGTCTGAGGGACACCCCTCTAATGGGCTTACCAGAATAAAAGGCTTTTGAGCTGCCGTTCATAAGTTGGCATTCATTTGTGGGCTCCTGTGTTTATAAGTCTGTTGGTATTGACAGAGGCATTGGGCAAGTGGATTTGAAATGTCTGAAACCCCAGTTTCCTACTTGTGTTGGTGCACTCAAGATAAGGCTTTTTCATAAAACAAAATAAGAACACCAGTTAATCTTATTGCTTTTTGCTGTTGGGTTAGGTGTAAAAACCTTTGTTTTATATTGTTGCATTAATCAATTTGCTTTCCTTTTTTCTTCTTCTTCCAGAAAAAAGAGTTTGATGTGGACAGTCTTAGCAAACCAGAACTGAGGATGCTTCTGAGTGTTCTCGAAGGGGAGTTGGAAGCCCGAGATCTTGTGATTGAAGCTTTAAAGGTATGTTGGTTTTTAGGTTTATTTAGTTACGTTTTTCAAGATTAGAATCTAACATTTGACTAGCAGGATGTGCTCAGATACCTGCGTTTTGCATTGATTTGTTTTTAATTGGGCCATCCTAAAGGGATCTCAGATGAGGAACTGAATAAATTACTGCTTAAACTAATTTCCCAATACAGTTTTTTAACATTAAAGGTTTATT